CATATCGCCCCTGAATCATCTCTTTTTTCAAGCTGAGATGTTCGTCTTTTTAACCTCTCTTCATACAGAAGCTGTTCCATACCCCTACTCATTTGTGTTGCCTTTTTCTGTATCTTTTCCAATTACGATATCTTTTTTTTGAAATGGGGAATCAGATATGAACGCAGTATTCAAGATGTACCATGGATTTGTGTAAAGGTATTATGATATGTTATTTCTTGTTATCTATCCCTTTTTTTCTTATCTATCCCTTTTCCTAATATTCTGTTAGCTTTTTTAACTGCCACTGCATATTGGGCAGATGTTTTCAGAGAACTATCCTCAGTGACTCAAAGATCTCTTTCTTGAGTAGTAACAGCTAATTTAGACCCCATCATTTTGTATGTTTAGTTGGGATTGTGTTTTCCAGTGTTCATTACTTTGCATTTATCAACATGGAATTTCATTTGCCATTTTGTTGCCCAGTCACCCAGTTTTGTGAGATCCCTTTGTAACTTTTTGCAGTCTGTTTTGGACTTAAAGGTGATTTGAATTGAAATCTCGAGTTAGATTCTTGTTTGTTTAAGGAATTTCAGAATATTCAATGTACAGAAGAATATACTTTAGCGGCATCCAAAAGTATGCTGAGCTCCTCCAATTCAAATAAAAGAAATGATTTCTGTTCCAAGAAGATAATTCCAAGCCAATTTCAGACATGATACAACAAGGGGTAACAAGGCAGTAGGGTGAGATATAAGATAATGGAGCAGGGCGCCATCAATAAGATTATGTTCTTACTGAACAAGGCTAGTGACAGTATGACGAAATTTTTTTTTTAATGAAATAAAAGGAAGAATTAATAAGTAGAAGATCTAATTAGCACACTTCTTGAGGCATTGTATAAGAAGTGGGTCTTGGGAGGGATTTAAAAGAGGAGAAGATAGTGGCTTTGCAGACAATCTCAGGAAAGGTGTTTCATCCATAGAGGGTGGCATGGAAAAAAGGCCACAGGTGATTGTGGGCTGCTCCCTACTATGGGGAGATTGCCGCTGCTGCAATCTATGCAGCAAGGATCGATTTAGTGGGTATAGTGAAGACCCGCTAAATTGATGGCAGAGCGCTCTCCAGTCAAGCCCGGTACTCTAGCTCTCCGAGAAGAGTAAGGGAAGTTGACCATAGAGCATCTCTCAACTCAGCGCATTGAAAATACTGGGGTAAATTGAGCTAAGCTACGTTATTCACGTAGCTTGAGTAGCGTAACTTAGGTCAGTTTACCCCCGTAGTGAAGACAAGCTCTGTGAAAGAAGTAGAGAAATAGGGTATATAGGATGGTAGTATCATTGACAATGCAGAGTTGGGCATGGGATGAGATAATCAAATATTGTTTCTTTTAGTCTTTGTATAATGGATCCAGTCCTTAGAAATATTCAATGCACAGTTAAGAGTAATTCCTGAGAAAATTTTGAGTAAAGAAATATCTTCGCAGCATTGGACATATTTTAGCCTCTCCTTGCAGCCTGTTCATTCTGTCAAGTGGGATTAAAGAAGCCACTGAATAGCTGGCACTATCCTCTGCTTACTGTTGCCTGTATTTGATGGCCAGAGAAGAGTTCAGGAAATTATCTCATGCAGAATTGGCTTGGAATTCAATTCATAATACAATTTGCAAATGAACTATACAGTGACTCATTTCATATGTACCTCACAGGTTTCCCTTAGCCAAAACCTCTTGGGCCAAAATCTTCATCAAGAAAATTTTGTTCTATGCCTAGTGGGTATAGAAAGGCACCTTGACTCCAAGTAGCACTGCTGTTGTCTCTTCAAGTCTGTTTGATAACATTCTTGCATTTTTACTCTTCTCTTCCTCCTACCCCCCAATTATGATGATTTTTCTTTTGCCATTGCAAAAGGGACCTAAATGAAGAGTGTAACAGAGCTAGACAGGTTGGGCCAGATCCTGGCAGATCTAGTCCTCTGAGGATTTGTCCTATGTGGGGGAATCATTAAGAAGTGTAGGGCTACCAGAGTCTTTTTTACCACCATGTCTTTAGGCTTCCTGCAAGTGGATTTAGACAACATGGTTTAAAAAGCAAACAAACCAAAACCCACTGCTTGTCTCAGTAATGCTCCCACCGTATAATTTTTTTTTTTTTTTAAAAGATAAGGTTAGAAATGGTCCATACACAGAATTCCCACTGATTTCAATGGGAGCTCTGAGCTTGGAATACTCTACCGGATTAAACTCTAAAGCCTCTGAAAAATGGAATTTTATAATAGCTATAATGGCTATTCAGCTATTTCAATCTTTTGTGTATACAATTATTGTAGATTTATAAAAGCTTCTCTTTTAAGAGCTTATGTTAAAAGCCGTCTCCTTTTTCATCCACTGTTGATAACAGGTTAACCAGTCTTCCAAATATGTGTGGTATGAGGGTGTACTTAGTACATTTGGCATTATGAGTTCAAGATAATTCCAAGATAACTATGAACCTTTTGTTATTAAATAGAGCCTTCAAATTCAAATTAAAACCCTACCCATTTCATATCCTCCAGTTCAAATCTGCATGTGGCTGATATTTTCCTTAATTGCATTAGACATTTTGTTTTAATAATACTAAAAAAGGATAATATAACATTAATTATCTAATATTAAAATAATGGATATTCAGAATCTGCAACACTGTCTTAATTTTCTCCACTGTGACAGGGTGTATCCATTTAAAAAAAAACCCAATAAGTAATTAATTATTTCAAACTAATACAAAAGTATGCACAAACGCTAAACTAATTAAACAAAACCTACATCATTCATTGCTTCTGACAAAATAAAGTCTCTGCATCTGGTAAGGATACAGAAGGATTTGCAGAAGCTTAAAACTGATGTTCCGGCTGATAGCAAGTCTTATTATACATTTCTGACTGTGTGACAGCAAAATATTGAAAAAGTGATTTTACTGTAATTCATAAGACAAATTTGGTTTTGTTTAGTAAGCATAAATTAAGCATCAGCAAACCTGTTTGTTTAGCGAAGTAAGCTATAATGAACTCGAGTGGGGAAAAAAAGCTTGTCAGATCACTTTTAAATTGTCTAGTTACACTCTCAACATTTGCAAAAAGAAAAGGAGTACTTGCGGCACCTTAGAGACTAACCAATTTATTTGAGCATAAGCTTTGCTCAAATAAGCATAAGCTTATGCTCAAATAAATTGGTTAGTCTCTAAGGTGCCGCAAGTACTCCTTTTCTTTTTGCGAATACAGACTAACACGGCTGTTACTCTAAATACTAAACATTAAATAAATGTATATAATTGTTTCCTGTAATACCAAATTTGCAAACACTATTTGTAAGCTCAGAAACTTGTCTTTTTCCCTAACAGAAGTTGGTCCAATAAAAGATATTACCTCACTCACCTTGTCTCTCTGTTAGTCTGGAACCAACAAGGCTACAACTATTTCTGAGATACGTTACTGCATTGTGATTAATTGCATTGTTCTTCTGGATATATACTGATGTACTGTATAAACATGATTAATTTCATAGTGCATTTCTTTCTAAAATGCTATTTCTCTTTACACACAAAATCTCTGGCTTTATTTTATTAAGCAAGGGAAGAGGTAAATTTCTGTTTTAAACAGTTAATATACAGCAATAGAATTAGAAGTGAGAGTCCAGCATCACAACAGGGGTATTATAACAGAGCTCCTATAGTTCCATATTGCTACAACCTACTATATCAAATACCTTTTAAAATATATAAATTACTTAAACTTTGTATTAATTTGTATAAAGATTTTTAAAAAACTAAACGTTCTACTAGAAATTTAATTGATTCAGTATCATGAGAATCATGGCACAGGTTTCCCACAAGTTAAAATATTTTTCTGTTAAGCAGTAAAGTCACAAAAATGCTTTTTAGTTTTATTTATTTGTTTTAACAAAATTGAAGTCTTAAAAAATATTATCCTTACTGATCAAAGGAAAAATATTCTGAACTCCTTCCAGTCCTCCACAGATGCAACATACATGTGAGGTGCTGTACCATCTTGAGCTTGGAAATGGTTAAAATCTTAGCAATGTTAAACAGAGATTAAAAATGTACTTCCTTATTTTAATTGCTACACATCCTACAGTTCTATAATCCAGAGTGACTTTATGTTTTGCTTTTTGGAAATACCAAAACATATTTTTTAATATGCCATATATATTAAAAGGTCAGATTTGCTTTGATTTAGACTGCCAAAGGATAAATGGACAAGTGTTTACCATTTCCCATTTTAAAGAAAAAAGCTCAAAACCATTAACCAGACAAAATTGATCATCTTTGCTCTTTTTCACGTGTCTACACACAAAATTACCACAGAAAAATTTGTAGGCCTGATTCTCTTCTGCTATGCACCTGTTTTAGTCATTCACACCTATGCATAATAAGTCCATGATGTTTCCATTCCCATTTAGTAGCATTTAGAATTTTTGGGGCTCCAAGAACAATACTACCAAACTTGCTTGAACCCAGTTCTCTGCTGATGCATGCTTGCTGCATCTTTCATATATAATTTTAGCTTTGCTACTGCTGTTACTGGTAAACCTCCATTTGGAGGACATGGGAAATGGTGTATACTTGAGTTCCGCCCACCGCAGTTCAAGAAAGAGTCTTCCTGCCCATGCATGAGACAGGAAGCGCAGCTGGTCAGAAGCAAAACAGTGTAACTGACTATATGTTAAGTTTATTTGTATACCCAAGATACACACACTGAAAAAAAGGTGTGAATTTCTATACATGGAAGAGAGAGAGGTGTTGCGTATAACAGAGTGGGTACCAAATTTTTGGATATGAATGTGATTTGTTTTTTTAAGTCACCCTTTACTGTTGCTAGAAGCAACCTTGGGGATTGCCTGGGATTTATAAGGTTTGCAGACTGTACTGCTGTCAGCCAAAAATTCCTCTCCTAGGAGGAGCAATAGTTGACAACTTCAGGTTCTAACTTGCAGAATTTTCATTTTGTTTCTCCCCCTCCCACAGGTTTTTCTTTGGAGGGAGCAGTCAGCTGTAAGTGTTTTCTAGATGCATATTGTTTTATCATTGGAATGTCATGACCAAATGATTTCTGTTGTGGTAAATGTTCAATAGTATTAGTTCAGACAAATATTGCTTCTGAGGAGACAGTACATTGGAAGGCACATGCCAACTGTGCTGCCAGTTACTGCCCCACAGGGAATTAACTATTTTGGAGAAGGGAATAATTCACTGCTTAGTAACTCTTCTCAAACATCTGCTAAAGCGGAACCCATTGTTACCCGCAGCCATTCATACAGTCATGCCTGAACTAGAAGAGAGTGAATTGCAATAGAACTTCATCTGCTGTCACCTTAATTTATGATCTTGTGCCTATATTTCATCAATTCTGAGACATTCCATCAGGAGAGAGTATGGTGTGATGTCAGTGATCAGATGATACATAGGAAACTAATGTGCAGGAAAGTAGATTATTTTAATTTACAGTCTCTGTGGGACTTGGTACAACAATTCTGTCCCCCAGATTCTCTATATAGTAATACCTTTTCTTTTCTTTTTTTCTTCTTATGACCCTTATTTTTTTTTAAAGACCTTACCAGCAGCATTTTTGCCTGAATTTTTTAAAAATCTGTTTTGTGCTTCATTTGGGGGGGGGGGTTTGCGGGGGGGGGTATTGTGAATCAGCAGTTTTGATTCTCAAATGAAGACATTCAAGGATTGCTGGATTTGTCATATAAAGTCACAACAGAGCAGAGGTTCACTTGATTCAATGGCTGGGTCAGCCAGAGCAAGCTGCGTAGTTTATCATAATTATAGACAGATTTGTGAACTTTATATCAAAGGGTTGATTTAATCCCAACAAGCTTTTGGGGGGAATTTTTTTTTGTTTGTTAATTTTATTTCTCTCCTCCACTCCTGCTCCATTAGGCTGGCTCCAGGTTGTGACAAAGTTCCTGGGGTGTGTTATGTGTGTGTGTTGCTTCCTTGTCTCCACATATCTAAGGAATGTGTATGAGATTGTGAGTCATGAACTTCTGACTTCTAATCCTGGCTCTGCCGCAGAGTTTATAGCCTTAAGCAATTTGTTTCATCCCATTGTGCCTGACATCCTCATCTCTGCTATGAAAATAATATTTACCTACCTTTTGGGGAGGAGTTCAAAATGTTTTACAAATCAATTAATCTTCACATGTAAAAGTGCTGTATCATCTAAATGTTATTTGTATGTATAATAACTCAATGGAAGGGCTGTTGTGTGTATGTATTGTAACTGTAAAGTTGACCACCCATCAACTGGTTACACCAGTGGTCCTCAACCTATTTACCATTATGGGCTGCATATGCAGCTCTCAGTGTTATGTGGGCCACGTACACAGAATATATATATACTGTCTGTATTACCTGAGAATGTCACATGGGCTGCAGCTGTGGGCTAATTGAGCCACAAGTGGCCCATGGGCTGTGGATTGAGAACCACTGGATTATACAATTGTGTTTGCAGTAGCTGGGTGGCGCAGCTTTGTAGTGTATAAATATATCCACTCAGACTGGGTTGAAGCCATTGGGATACTTTACATAAGGGATCTGAACATGGGTATCTGGAGAAGAAATGCTAATGCACTAAATGTAGTGATGTACGTATGAAGGCCCATTCTGCTTTGAAATAAAAATATAGTTCTGCATCACAGAAATGGATTATTGAATACAAAACTGTTTAGGCTCTTAACAAAGGGAAAGAGAGGTCAGCTGTTCAGTGAAGGTTATTTAGTTGCTAAAGGATTGGATTGTTACCAGAGTACAGAGGGCTTTATATGTTTGTTGGTAAGGATTAAACTAAATATTTGGAAAATGGATAAAGTAGCTTGAAAAAAATCTCTCGTTTGAATTTTTTTTTTTTTTTTTTGGTATAGTGTTTGCTTTTATGTATATTGTTGGTAACTTGGAGGTGGGGAAAAAATCAATGATTTTTTAAAAATTAGAATTTACCTTGATTACAGCTAGGCATTATTATTATTTTATTAATGACTAACATCATGTGAAGTGAAATTTTGCTTGTTTTTCAAGACAATTGAATCAGATTTAAAGCACCCTCAAACTTTAGGGAAATTCAGACCCAGATCTGGATCTCCCTTCCATTATAAATTATTAAATGGTGGATTTTTCTGGTCATGTCAACTGTAAGTTAATATTTACTGTTAGTACATCATGATGTATTGTATACCATGGAAACATAGGACTATTATTAGTCACTCTTCAAAGCTTTCTGAATATAGTACTTGCTATAAAAATTTTGAAAACCTGTAACTTCCTGGTATTCCATCCTAATGAAAAGTCCCATAGAACAGACTGGCAAACCATAACATGTATTTTTACTGCTGAGGGGCAGTCTGTGTATCCAAAAGAATTTCCAAAGAACCCTTTAAACCTATTCAAGGGACACAGGATAAATGTTTTAAAACGTATTCTTTAAGTGTTTTGTTAATCACTCTGTATTAGAACTGAAATAATTTTGAAAATCTAGCATTTGCTTTCTCTGAATGTTTGTTTCTCAGTCATTCAGATCATGTGACCGGCCTGCAGAAGTTCTAATTAGATATATCCACATGTGTTATGGATGGGGAAATTGTTTGTGACATGCAGTTTCTTTCAACAGATTTATATTAGATAGTTACTTGTCAGAAACTGGATCAGAATTCATTTAAGATTTTTTTTTATTTTTTGTTATAAAAACTAATTCCAAGTGCAACTGAGTAGGAATGAGTGCCACTCTGAAGACATGTCTATATGGAAACACACAGGAAAGTTGAGGTGAATCAGCTGAAAATGTGAAGTCAGTGCACATAAATTTAAAAATTAGTTTAACCTTAGTTTGCTGTAACTTTGAACTAAGGACATAGATGCCTGTCTGAGAGCATCCACTTGGGAGTTTAATGCACTTTAATGTACGTACATAGATTTCACATCTTTGATTTGCCTTAACTTTCTTGAGTGTCTCTATGTAGACAACCCTTTACAGTAGTGTACATCTTTAACAATAAGATCATTAGTTTAATTCAGGAAGAGGCTGCAGCAGCAATAGTTTCCATATACTCTGCACCTTGGGATCAAATTATTTTTCTTCTTGATATAGTTTTCCAAAGGTGAGACATGGGTAACTCTCACCACTCAAACAAAATCTGTATGAAAGCTGAAGCAAACTTTTTTTTTTTTAAATGGAAAATGTGTAGCTAGCTTGAAGTAGTAACTTTATGGCTTAGTCTATGCTTAAAAGTGAGGTCAACATAGCAGTGTCAGTCAGGGGTGTGAAAAATACACACCTCTGAGTGCCACATCTATGCCAACCTGCTGCAGAGGAGCATGTGGATTGGATGGAGACTTCTCTTAGAGGAATGTGGGGGGGAGGGATAGCTCAATGGTTTGAGCATTGGCCTGCTAAACCCAGGGTTGTGAGTTCGATCCTTGAGGGGGCCATTTAGGGAACTGGGGCAAAAATTGGGGATTGGTCCTGCTTTGAGCAGGAGGTTGGACTAGATGACCTCCTGAGGTCCCTTCCAACCCTGATATTCTATGATTCTATGAATGTCTATTGATAGAGATTCTCTAGGTTTTAGTGAGGAGGAGAGGATGGAAGAGGATAAAGTATGGGCCAGATCAGATGAGAAACATTCACATAAAAAAGAATCTGACGCATCAGAAAAGGGCAGAAAAATAAACAGTGACAAGTTTTTAAAATGCTTGTACACAAATGCTAGAAGTCTAAATAATAAGATGGGTGAACTAGAGTCCCTCGTGTTAAAGGAGGATATTGATATAATAGGCGTCGCAGAAACCTGGTGGAGTGAGGACAATCAATGGGACACAATCATTCCGAGGTACAAAATATATCGGAAGGACAGAACAGGTCGTGGGGGGGGGGGGGGGCAGTGGCAATATGTGAAAGAAAATGTAGAATCAAATGAAGTAAAAATCTTAAATGAATCCACATGTTCCAAAGAATCGCTATGGATAGTAATTCCATGCTCTAATAAGAATATAACGGTAGGGATCTATTATCGACCACCTGACCAGGACAGTGATAGTGACGATGAAATGCTAAGGGAGATTAGAGAGGCTATCAAAATAAAGAACTCAATAATAGTGTGGTATTTCAATTATCCTCATATTAACTGGGTACATGTCACCTCAGGACAAAATGCAGAGACAAAATTTCTTGATACTTTAAATGACTGCTTCTTGGAGCAGCTGGTACAGGAACCCAGAAGGGGAGAGGCAACTCTCGATTTGGTCCTGAGTGGAGCGCAGGATCTGGTCCAAGAGGTAATTATAACAGGACTGCTTGGAAATAGTGACCATAATATAATAACATTTAACATTCCTGTGATGGGAAGAACACCTCAACAGCCCAACTACTGTGGCATTTAATTTCAGAAAGGGGAACTATGCAAAAATGAGGAGGTTAGTTAAACAGAAATTAGAAGGTACAGTGACTAGAGTGAAATCCCTGCAAGCTGCATGGACACTTTTCAAAGACATTATAATAGAGGCCCAACTTAAATGTGTACCCCAAATTAAAAAACACAGTAAAAGAACTAAAAAAGAGCCACTGTGGCTTAACAACCACGTAAAAGAAGCAGTGAGAGATAAAAAGGCATCTTTTAAAAAGTGGAAGTCAAATCCTAGTGAGGTAAATAGAAAGAAGCATAAACACTGCCAAATTAAGTGTAAAAATGTAATAAGAAAAGCCAAAAAGGAGTTTGAAGAACAGCTAACCAAAAACTCAAAAGATAGTAACAAAATGTTTTTGTTAAGTACATCAGAAGCAGAAAGCCTGCTAAACAATCAGTGGGGCCCCTGGATGATCAAGATACAAAAGGAGCACTTAAATATGATAAAGTCATTGCGGAGAAACTAAATGAATTCTTTGCTTCAGTCTTCATGGCTGAGGATGTTAGGGAGATTCCCAAACCTGAGCTGTCTTTTGTAGGTGACAAATCTGAGGAATTGTCACAGATTCAAATGTCACTAGAGGAGGT